CCATTATATTTACTTACGTGCTAATACCCTTGGGAAAGGTATGAATCCTCTTCTTCTCCCCCCAGCTATGGGTAAATAGCAGGACAGACCGGGTGCTATAGCCTTGGATGGCAACTGGTCTACTGCAGAAAGAAATGGCATCCTTCTACGGGAAAAATCTGCCTCATCAGTCATGTATCGAAAGATACATAATCGCCTAAGTGTGTATCACACATGGTGCATAATTGGCTGATTATACATTTAATCAAGCACACTATAGATAAATAACAGGACAGACCGGGTTCTATAGCCTTGGATGGCAACTAGTATACCACGGAAAGAAATGGCATCCTACTGCAGGAAAAAATCTGCCTCGTCAGTTATGTATCAAAAGATACATGATCACCTAAATGTGTATCATGCATGGCACATAACTGACTGAAATTACATACTAATATCCTTATGAAAGGTATGAATACTCTTCTTCTTCCCCTAGCTATATCTAAATAGCAGGACAGGACTTTTATAGAGTTGGATGGCAACTGGTCTACCACAGAAAGAAATGGCAACCTACTGTGGGAAAAAATTTACCTCGTCAGTCATGTATCGAAAGATACATAATCGTCTAAGGGTGTATCACATATGGCACATAAGTGACTGAATTAAAGACCTGTAGAAATTCTACAGATATTTTTGGCTGCTCAAGTTAACAATTGTCTTGTGCTTTGCCTCTTTTAAAAACTTTATCTTCCTTTCACTCCCTTATTCCTTTCTATGTTCATGTTTTTAAAGCTACTAAAAGATTCTTATTAGTAACCAATAGTTGAAGTTATGAAACAGTTATAGTATATAGGCAACAAATTCAATATATCATCATAACCAATTCATAGCAATGAAGATATGTATTGGGGGCATTACAATCAATCAGGTGCAAAAATTTAACTATCTGGGTGAATGAGAAGACCTTAATACCAAACGATGTCTTCCCGAAACTAAGAAAAATATTAAGAGATTGGAAAATTTTGAATATTGAAAAACTCTGGGAAGAAAAAAATAAATAATAAAATACATTGGTATAGCAAAAGGTGCCTTCCAAAAGCTAAACAAAGTATTAAGAAAAATATGTCAAAAGTATGGTTTTTCCATGACACCACTAACATTTTAACTACCTTCACTCTTCAGCAACGTTTAATGTTTTAAAACGTGATGATTAGAATTGTAAATATAGAATTGTAATAAAATAAATATAAAATTGTAATAAAACCTAAAGATATGGTGAAAGTGAATTTATACATGTTTTTGTATTCTTGAGAATTTACAACAAAAATATTAAACACTATTAATTGTTTATTTACAAGAATAATTTTATATCTACAACATTCTAAAAACTAATAAAATTCAAACTAATGCAATACAATATTTATCATTTACCAAGTTATAAAGAAATAAATATCAAAACATTTTTTTATTCCTAAATTTATAAACATCTACTAAATTATAAAAATATCTGAACAAACGATAAGGAGATTCTTATTTACCATTTTATAAATTCCACATTCATTAATTCCATTCTTTAGTTCACTCAGTGCAGATAGGATATGCCATGCTACATCGAAAGAACCAAATCACCGTCATTTCCTCTATATTCCAAAGGCGAAGCAAGAGTTTCACTCAGCTTTTTCCAAAGAACTGCCAATTTTTGTAACCCACGTGGATGCTTTCCTGAATACTATACTCTTAACTTCTTCAAGTCAAAGGTCAATTGTTATCCTCAAAATCTTCACTTCCTCTTTCATTTATATCACACACCTTCATAACAATTTTAACAGTGACCCTCTACCTTGAGTGGCTCTCGAACCTTGTATTGAATGAAGTAAACTTCTGATTTTATGTCACACTTTTTGTTACAAAGATTCTTCACAATAGAGTAATGGTTATCAAGCTAGGAGGTTTGATCCACACTAGGTGACACATAACTTATGGCTTTATGCAAGACTAAAGTGAGCTGTATAAATAACTATATTTTGCTGGTTAAGAAGTGGTTAACAAGTTAGGTACAAGGTAAGCATACTGTGTAGTGTATCAAGAGACAGAAATATGGTTCTACAGGTGGATGCTGAGAATGCCATAGATTAAATATATGAGCAACGAGAAAGTTCTAAGCAAAATGGAAACAAAACGGATATTCTTGTTTAGGATCAGAAAGCTACAGCTGAAATTTCTCAGGCACATAATGAGGAAAGAATGCTAGGAGAATTTGACACTTACAGGACATTTTGAAGGTAATAGGAGTAGAGGAAAGCATTGAGTAAGTACGTTATGCGCAGAGGCACAAATTTAACTTCCTCCTAGAAAAAATTTGGACTGGATCAAATGACAGTGTTAGATTCCATTCTTAAATTTAAAATATACAATATCTAAATTATTGAAATTGTGAAAAATTATTTCCAACAGTTAAGCAAAGTAGAAAAAAATTTATTAGAAACAAAGAAAAGAGTGTCAGGAAGAAAAAAGTTCTCCTATATAACAGAGAATGTTGGACAATGTCCTTACGAATAAAGAGGACACTTAAAGCACAGAGATGTGCTTCTATATAAGGGACATGTAAGCAACGAGGAAGCTTTAGAAATGGAAACTAGAAGGACACTTATACTTACAATCAGAAAAAAAAGAGTTGAAATTTCTGGGTCACATTATGAGGAAAGTGGGCTTAGAAAACTTAACACTCACAGAGCATACTGAAAGCATAAGGCGCAGAAGGGAACAGTAAGTTATCTATCTAATGGATTTCAGTGAATGATTGGGGATGGAAGAGAGTCAAATATTGCTACCCAACCATCATGGAATGTTCTTGCAATGTTGAAGATACATTGTATTTTGGTTTGAGGATATATGATGTTGTGGCAACATTACCGTAATGTTATAAGCAACCATTTTCTTGACCCCAAACTGACTGTTCATCTCTAGTGAGCATTGTCTAAACATCATGGGAATGTTACATACTGCTTTATTTTATTACTTTAAACATTATTTTCAGTGGATACTCATATTTGAGTAGACGTTCCATTTATTTTAAACAGTATTATATTTTGTCAACCAGCCAGAACATTTGAGAAATCATATTAAAAAAAATATGCCTTCTGGCTGGATATGAAAATGCATCCCTCTTTGCAGGAGAAACTGTTGTTTGATATGAAGTGCTTTTGATCACTCAGCCATGAAGGCCTTCAAAATCAGGCACTGTTCCATCTGTTTTTTAAGCACACTTTATTTGTTCAGATTTCTCCAATAATTATAACTCCAAATTTCGTATCTGAAACATAAATAAAGCAATTTCTAATGAATAAATGGATTTTTTATTTATTAACTCAGCAGATTTTTATTAATTTAAATGTTATTTTTAGTGGATACCCATATTTGAGTGGATGTTTATTTTTTAAACAATACTTTATTTCATCTATTGGCCTGAACATTCAAGAAAACTTCTGCTGCTGGGCACATTTTTTTAATAAGTTTTCTCAAATGTTCAGGGTGGTTGATGAAATAAAATAGTGCTGTAGCTAAAAAATTTCATACTAGTCAAATAACATCAGAATACCTTTTCTTCACTTAAAAAATATTAGTCAGTTATGTGCCATGCATAATATACACTTAGGCAATTATGTATCTTTCAATACATGAATGACAAGGCAGATTTTTTTCTGGCAGTAGGTTGCTATTTCTTTCTGCAGTAGACCAGTTGCCATCCAAGGCTATAGAACCCAGCCTATCCTGCTATTTACCCATAGCTGGGGGAAGAAGAAGAGGATTCATACCTTTCCCAAGGGTATTAGCATGTAAGTGAATGTAATGGATCCGACTGGAATTCGAACTCGGCTCTCCGATACCTCAATCCGAGCCACTATCCATTACTCTACCATGCCTCCACAATAATATGTTAATTAATATGTATAGAAGGTTTAAAATGTTTTTCATACTTTTTTAGTTGAGAATCACAAATTTAAATGATGAATGCACATTCTAATATCTTCCTTAAAATTATTATCCATTTTCTGTTAATACAAGACAGCATATTTGCAATATTACATCCTTGTGGGTGATGAGCCACTATCCATTACATCCTTGTGGGTGATGAATTACTTTCCATCCTACAACCTCTTTTTCTACAGCCTCTTACTATTTCCATGGAAAATCTTCAAATCAACTACATTTCTTAGTTCTACCAGTTCTAACCCACATGGCTCGGACACACCATGCCTCACACATTGTAGCAAACCACCATCATTCCCATCATATCTCACTGGTGAGATGTAAATTCCACTCAAACAGCTTCTTCCCATGAGCCCTTGTTTTGTGAAACCAACTCCCAAGAGGAAGCTTCTCCAATCACTACAATCTTAACCTGTTCAAGTCTACAGTTTATCCCCATAATGTGTACTTCTTAGTCTGTAACCTTCTGTCTTGAGTGGCTCTTAGACATTGTAGATGGTGAAGATCATCTTAAAAAAAAAAAATTAACGTAATATTGTAGGCACATTTTGGGGAGTCTACAAAGCAATACTTCTACAACCTCAATGTAACACTGCAGAAACATCTTTTTTTTTAGCTGAGTCAGAGCTACAAAGTACAGGAAGTTAGGGAGAGCCATGATCACTTACATTTAAAGGAATGCAACATATAAAAGAGGTGTAACAAGTTTCACTGAGTGCACCTTTTTTGTAGTCTTATGTGAGTGTACTAATTCACCATGCAATTATCGATACCCCTTCCCCAGACCTTCCCATGGCCATGAGAATGTTTTATAAAAATCTGTTTTATGAGAGATCGGTATAGGCCATCTGTAATGAAGTCAAGGACTGTCCCAACTACTTAGCTGAAGTGGGGATGAGAGCTTTCAAGACGAGTCATTACAAAAAATTATAGGCAAGATTTGAGTTATACCACATAGTCAACTGCAATGTTGTAGACTTTTTCACTATTGTTTTTTATTTGCGTCTTTATTTTTTCCATCTTTGATTTTAATGTTATCTTTCTTTCTTTTTCCTTTCTTCTTGATTGACTACTTTTATTTTTGCTTTGCCTCCTCTTCATCTTTTTCAATCTTACCTTGTCTATTTTTTATTTTTTTACTTTTAACCATTACTTTGTTTTCTTACTTGACCAACTCTTTTTCTTTGCTTTTATTCTCTTCTCTTTATCCGTTACTTTTCAAACTTCTTTCTTTTTCACATTATCTCTTTTTCCTCCTTCTTCACCCACTCTTTTTTCCTTTTTCTTTTCTCTCTCTTTACTTCTCAAGCTTATTTCTTCTTTCTTTCTTTCTTTTTTCTTTCTTTTTTCTTTTTCACATTATCTCTTTTTCCTCCTTCTTCACCCACTCTTTTTTCCTTTTTCTTTTCTCTCTCTTTACTTCTCAAGCTTATTTCTTCTTTCTTTCTTTCTTTTTTCTTTCTTTTTTCTTTTTCACATTATCTCTTTTTCCTCCTTCTTCACCTACTCTTTTTTCCTTTTTCTCTTCTCTCTCTTTACTTCTCAAGCTTATTTCTTCTTTCTTTCTTTTTTTTTTCTTTTTTTTTTTTTCACATTATCTCTTTTTCTCCTTCTTCACCCTCTTTTTTCCTTTTCTCTTCTCTCTTTTACTTCTCAAGCTTATTTCTTCTTTCTTTCTTTCTTTTTCTTTCTTTTTTCTTTTTCACATTATCTCTTTTTCCTCCTTCTTCACCCACTCTTTTTTCCTTTTTCTCTTCTCTCTCTTTACTTCTCAAGCTTATTTCTTCTTTCTTTCTTTCTTTTTTCTTTTTCACATTATCTCTTTTTCTTCCTTCTTCACCCACTCTTTTTCCTTTTTCTCTTCTCTCTCTTTACTTCTCAAGCTTATTTCTTTCTTTCTTTCTTTCTTTCTTTCTTTCTTTCTTTCTTTCTTTCTTTTTTCTTTTTCACATTATCTCTTTTTCTTCCTTCTTCACCCACTCTTTTTCCTTTTTCTCTTCTCTCTCTTTACTTCTCAAGCTTATTTCTTCTTTCTTTCTTTCTTTTTTCTTTTTCACATTATCTCTTTTTCCTCCTACTTCTTCAATTCTTTTTCTTTTGTTCTTTTACTTCTCAAACTTCTTCCTTCCTTCCTCCTTTCTTTATTTCTTTCTTTATTAATTGTTCACTTTCTTCCCTTGTTTCATCAACTGTTTTCCTTTGTTTTTTTTTTCTCTTCTCTCTCTCTTTACTTTTCAAACTTTTTCTTTCTTTCTTCCTTCCTCTCTTTCTTTGTCTTTTTCTTTTTTTACCCATTACTTGAATCTTGGACTTCTTCTCAGGGAAGAACTATGCCTTGAAATACTGTTGGGCCTCAAACTCACACCCTACCTCAAGTGGAACTCTTACATATAATCTATTGCTAAAGATGCAGGTAAAATTGCCAGCTACTTGTACCACTCCAGTAAGAACCTGACTCCTCCTGCTACCCTCTACCTTTACCAGGCCAAAAATGGAGTTCTGTTGTCATATCTGGGCGGGAACTGCCAAGAGCTTACTTTCAAGCCTTGATAGAGTTCAAAAATGTTTCCAACCCCTTGTGGGTGACGACATTCTCCACTCTTCAACCCCTCTCACACAGATGATGTGTAGCAAGCCTCTTGCTGCTCTACTGCTACGTCCATGGAAGGTGCTTGGATGAACTACATTCCCTGGTCCCACCAAGGCAAACCTTCACAGCCAGGACCTACCATACCACCTACATAGTAGCAAACTACCTACATTCCCTCCATATTCCATTAGTGAGAAGTAAGTTCCACTTGAGCAGCTTCTTCCCACAAACCACTGCCCTGTGGAACCGACTCCCAACAGGATGTGTCCCCAATCACTACAATCTTAACTTATTCAAGGCTAGGTTTAATCATTATCTACCTCACCTATACATGCCTCCTAACATAACTCTCTACCTCAAGTGTCCCCTGGGCCTTGTAAAGGGTGACTCTTACTATAAAAATATATATATTTATAAGTCTACCATTTGACTATGCCTTGAATATTGCTACCACATATGGTCTAGTGCTCCTCCTGTATATCTAGAGATTCTTGATAAAATCCAAAAAAGAATCAGCAATATTATTGGTCCTGACCTGACATCTCAGCTTCAGTCACTTTCTTACCACCATAATGTAGCTCCCCTGTTCTTTTTCTGTAAATACTTTCATGGTAATTGTTCACATGAACTTTTCACCTTAGTACCTAGACTTTATGAATTTAAGCATAGTGCTAGATTGGTGTCAAGGTCTCATTAATTCTCAGTTGAATTGGCTAAATGTAACCATAAGTTCTATGCTAACAGTTTCTTTTCTCATACTTCTATGGAACTATCTTCTGGCTCCAGGCTTTCCAGCCAACTTTGGTCCTCAAAACCTTAAATACAATGTCAACCATTATCTACTGTTTTCCCCATTACTCCTCTTAATAATGTTTCTCTTTTTTTCTTATTCTTTCACACTCAGTAACCACTTGCTTCTTAGTGGTTTTACTGTCTTGCATGGGGTGATATGCTTAAAGAAAAAGATTTAGGACACAAGAGAGATGTCCTTCTACAGAAGAATGATGAGAATACCATGAATGGAACATGTGAGCAATGAGGAAGTCTTAAGGAAAATTTTCTTTCTCTTTTCTCTGTCCTCTCTTTACAACCATCTTTTCTCATCATCTTTTTTTCTCATTCATTTTCTTTTCCCCCATCTCATTTTTAATCATATCACCCCCTCCTCTTTTTCTCTTTTTCTCTATCTTTTCTCTCTCCTCCTCTTTAGTTTTGACTCTCTTTTCTCTATTTACCAACTGCTTTCTTCACTTTCATCCTTTTAAATTCATCCTCCTTCTTCAGTTTTGCTATCTCCTCCTCCTGTCCCCCTTTTCCTCCTCCCTTCATCTTCTTTTCTCTTTTCTTTTATATTTTCTCTCTCTTTTTCCTTACCCCTTCCTTTCTTCACCTTAACCTTTTCCCATTCCTCATACTTCTCATTTCTCCAACCGCCTCCTTTTTCATCCTCTTTTATTCTTTACTTTCTTTCCCATTTTTTCACCTCCCTTTCCTTTTTAATTTTCACCCTCTTTTTTTCTACTTCCCTCTCCTTTCTTCAGTTTCACCCTTTTGTGTCATTCCTCCTCCTCCTCAGCCTTCATCTTTCCTATCTCCTCCTATCCACTACAATCTTTCCCCTCTCTTGATCCTCCTTTCTTCATCTCCAGTTCTTTCTTTTTTTTCCCATTCTCTTTTATTGTTTTTTACCTCTTCCTTTTTTTTTTTCTCTCTTTCTTCCCCACCCTCTAATGCTACTGATTCATCTGGAGTCATTTTTGATTTCTCAGATTGGATGTCTTGTCTTCCCTGCAGTTTCTTTTGAGAATATATTTTGCAAATAATATAACAGCAAAGCATTTCTTTTGATCAACATTCTCTTTTACTGCTTGGGAGCTGAAGAAATAATGTAGGACAGGAATCAGCAAATGTGAAAGAATACATTTCTTTTCTTTTTTTGCCATTGCATCATTGAAAAAAATTCTCTTGATAAAGCATTTCATTTTATAACAAAAAAAAACTAATCCTGCTTTATGTAAAATCTTTTTTTTTTTTCATATAACGATCTCTTCTGTAATTTTAATATGATTTTTTAGATGACTAAACTTCTTTTAGTTGCTCTTACTGTTACCATAACATTTCAGCTGATTAATTCTTCAGCCTTCTTCTGGTATACAATCCTTATGAAAAGATGGAGGATTTCTTTTCAAATTTACTGACACATGAGTTACAAATATAAAAATCTATAAAATTTAACATGTTTCATTATTTATTGAGTTTCATCAGACATTTTTGTGGAATCAAATGATGCAGAGTTATGCTTCAAATTTTTTTTTTCTCATATTATAAGTTTGCCAAATACAAAGCCCACAGGGCCCTCAAGGTAGAGTGTTACTGAGCAAGATTGCTGTAAAGAAGAGAGTACAAAGTGCACATTATGAAGACAATAAATATTGGTTGACCCAAGACTTTGAGAGACAAAGATTGTTATTGTCAAGGAAGCATATTCTCAGGAGTTTGTTCTGCAAATTAACAGTTCTGGGGAAGAAACTGTATGAGTGGAACATATTCCTTAAAAAAGGAATTGTTATGATGTTGATTTGGGGTTAGTAGAGACAAACGCCAAATAACACGTAACAAAAAAAAGGGTTTTAATAGGTTGGTAAAAAGGTACAGAATCGCCTGAGTAGTCAATAACTAGCTCAGCTAAGAACTTCTCTGTTTATCTGTCTCCCGACATGCCACTATTTAAAGTCTTTGTTCGCAGACAAGTTCATCTTCCAGAGGGGTGGTAGGTTTCCGACACAACAGGAATATAAAGGGAATTAGAAATATTTGCCACCATGGACATGACATAGCAGGTCCTAGCTGTAAAAGTTTGAACTAGTGGGACTAAGGGATGTGACTCATTTGAATATCTGCCATTGTAATAGTGATATAATAGAAAAAGGCTGGCAATTTTCCATCTTTGCAAGGTGGAAAATAATTCATCACCCACAAAATCACGTAATTGATTTTGAACTCTGTCAAGACTGGACAGTGAGGACTGAGCATCACCAGCCCAGCATATGACAGCACCATTCTTAGTTTGATCTGACTCTTTTAAAAATAGAGCATAGCAGCAGGAGTTAGATATTTTCTGGATACAAGAAACCAACCATTTTTCCAGTATCTTTTGTGATACTCTCAAAACCTAAAAATCTCCCAATCAGAGCCAAGCTGACAGATGTAGTTTATTGTCTCAAATGTTAGTGCAATTGTTATGAATGAGTTGATCCATTCAGGTAATTGAATCTTGAAGAGCTATGTCCATTTATTTTTGTACTTTTTCTATTGACAAAGAGTACATGACTTTTCCATTACATTTCATGTAGTTATTCCATGCAACAATTGCCTTGTGAATAAAAGTGTTTGTTTAGAGTTTCTCATTACCTTTCATCATTTGTCCATGTTTTGAATACTGCTCCCAGATCTGTCTGGTGCAACTACTATGTATCTAGAGATTGTTGACAAAAATCCCAAGAAGAATCTACATATTATCAGTCCTGCCCTGGTATCTCAAATTTGGCTACAAAGAAGTTCCCCTTTGCATATTTTATAAATATTTTTAGGGTAATTGTTCTGATAAGCTTTCTACTTTGATATTATTTTTATATTTTATTAGTAAATATTATTATTACTTTAGTTTTACTTGCATATATTATTATTGGATATTAAGCATTGTTGACTATAATTCATTTTTATTATATTTGTTGTAACCTAGAAAGGATTACTGAATGAGGAATAACCAAAACGAAGTTTGGAAATGAAATGCTAATATTTATAACATCAACAAAATACAATACTCGCCAGCGGTGTGAAGCAGGTAAACCACTTCTAGTAGTGGACTACTTAGTCAGTATATTACCCCCGCTTACAATAGTGTCCAATGTATTGGGACATACCCATTAGTGTTCATTGGTACAGTATATAACAATATTATAATTTTCTTACCAATTTTACTCCCTCTTATTACTGTTGCATTTTAAGTAAAGCATTTGTCACTATTATAATTTTCTTAACATTTTATTATTAAATTATTTTATAAGTTCTTAAATTACCTATATTTTCTACTGTAATTTTTTTATTTTAAATTATAATATTTTACAAATGTCCAACTTCAGTGAATCTAGGTTAGCAAAGTCAATGTGAAGTTTTTCCTTTAAATATTTTTCTGAATGGAAGTAAAAAAGCAGGTCAAAAAATAAAAATAAAATGTACTTTTTAATTGATTTGCCAGGATAAAGAAATATAAAATAGTAACCAGAAATAAAATTTAAAAAAATTATTTCAGAGAAAAACTTTCTCTTTCATATTTTTCCCACCACTTTTCCAGTTTCTCAATTTTTTTTAATGCTTGTATTTTGTTTTTTTTTATTGCCTTTTTTATTGTCTGCACAAACTGTCATGGCTGACAGCAGTTTAGGTTCCTGTTTATTGTCTGATAACTATATTAGAATTTTATTTTGTTTATTTTAATTATTACTACAATTATGGTTGCATATAATTTCTCAATTTTTATTTGTAATATTTACAAACAAAAAAAATATTTTCCTTAGTAATTTCAACTTCAATAAAAATGTTCATCTCATTCCATTATCAATGTTTTTGAAAACACTGATGTTCTTTTCAATATTTTCAATGACAAGAATACTAATAACTCTATATGATATTATATAACAGATATCATATAACTATATATGATATCATTCAAATTTCTTATATGAAGCATAGTCAATTATTATTAATCTTCAGTATGTATTTTATTCATCTTGATTTTATCGATTATATTACACTCATCTGTTGCATTCACTTTTGCATCAGTAACATTTGGAAAGGCATAGAGTCATCTCATCTCCTTTCCCAATTATGAGTTAAATAGATAGGTAGAGCTCTCTATCATGAGGAGGCAACCAGTCTAAGAAAAGGAAAACTGAATTCTAAATTGTGAAAAGGGCAATGGTAAAACACTCCACTATCTTTCTGAAGAATGTGCAGCAGTTTATAACTACTTGCATGCAGGCTATTCTCCTCGTTTTTGTTGTTATCACAATGTTTCTGCCATTGTGCCCTTTGACCTGCATCAGGTGTATATCGATCCTGGTAACTTACAGAGAATTTCAAGCTGAACACTTTATTTCATCTACAGGGTTAGATTGTTCTCCTTCCACTGCCAATGTCTAGGGATATCATATCTAGTTCTTATTTTCATACTGCTCAGTTATTGCTCATCCATTTCTACTGAGTCTGAATGCACACTGCCCAGGCCAGGGATTGAACTCACAATTACCATATCTCCATAATGATAAAGGCCAAAGAACACAATGGCTGTAATGTTGTAATAACATCAATGATAATGGTCAAAGGACACAATGGCTGAAACATTGCAATAACAACAACAAAGATGAGGACAATGGTCCACATGTAAATAATAATAACTTTTCATCGCAGAAGTACAGACAGAAAAAGCAATTCACAAATAATTAAGAAAAAGGAATCCATAGGAAGATATGATTGCCTACCACCTGAGACAGATGGGCTTTTTATATGAAGTATTAGTTGTAATAGCATTCACACAATATTTATATGCAGTATTTGATGAAATGGCATTCATGTAATATTTATATGCAGTATTTGATATAATAGCAATCATGTAATATTATATGTAGTATTAGATGTAATAGTGTTCACGTAATATTTATATGAAGTTTTAGATGTAATAGCGTTCATGTAATATTTATATGTAGTATTAGATATAATAGTGTTCATATAATATTTATATGTAGTATTAAATATAGCATTCATTCAATATTATATGTAGTATTAGATGTAATAGCGTTCACGTAATATTTATATGAAGTTTTAGATGTAATAGCTTTCATGTAATATGTATATGTAGTATTAGATATAATAGTGTTAATATAATATTTATATGTAGTATTAAATATAGCATTCATTCAATATTATATGTAGTATTAGATGCAATAGTGTTCATGTAATATTTATTTGTAGTATTAGATGTAATAGCATTCACGTAATATTTATATGTAGTTTTAGATGTAACAGCATTCACATAATATTTATATGTAGTATTAGATGTAATAGTGTTCATGTAATATTTATATGTTGTTTTAGATGTAATAGCATTCATGTAATATTTATATGTAGTATTAGATATAATAGTGTTCATGTAATATTTATATGTAGTATTAAATATCATAGCATTCATTCAATATTTATATGTAGTATTAGATGTAATAGTGTTAATGCAATATTTATGTATATAATTAGATGTAATAGCATTCAAATTTCTTAAATGAAGCATTGCTAAGTATTTTTGATTTAGTACTAATGTTTTTCATCTATTATATATTTTCCACATGAAAAAGGAATATTATGTAGTGTTTGGGAAGATAATCTTTAGGTTGAGGAAATGATTAGTCAACCCAAACTTTGATAAGTAACTTGAGTATTGGAAATCCATCAAGAAATAACAAATAATTATAAAGAAAGTTTATAATAAATACAACATTTCATATACAATTTAAAAGATACTACAAGGAAAGCTAAAAGTCCTTTTTGTCTGTGTAATGTTTAAAGTTTGTATTTG